GTGGACGTGGTCAATCTATAGACGAATTTGAAAGTAATATGTTGACATCGAGTTGTTCTGTAAAATGTACTACAGTCGGGCGTTTTCTCCATTTTTTTCGTATACAAGGTACTGTAACTCGTTATTCCGTGTTTTGAATCTGTCAACACTTTGCAAGGTTGGAAACAAAGCATATTTCACTCACTGGCAGGCTGCGCGCAGAACAAAATTTACATCGTGCGAGCCACGCGCTATCGCAGAGGAGCGTTCGGGTAATTTTTTAGATTAATTTTTATCTTTTTAAAAATTTTAAAATAATCAATAAAATATTAACTCAATTTGATATTAATACAATTTAGCAAAAAGTAAAGTCCAGTCCAGTCCAGAGTCCAGTCCATATTTTCCAACTGTTCATTTCTTCCGTCGCCGCTTTCTACAGCACGACAAAAAAGTTTGAGACGAGGAACATCCTCATTCTGTAGTGAGCTGCTAAAAAGCAGACACGACAATTAACATCATTTGGAAAAGAAGAGCCAATTGTATTCAGATTCCCGTGATTTTTAAAATTGCCGGTATTCACTGTCACACCGTCATCAAAACCATTAAAAAAATAAACTCAAGAATCAAACAGATGAAATAAGATGAATATTCAAATGGCTTCGCAAAGATTCAGGTCTTTGCGATGTTCTGTGCGGGAGATATTCGAATAATTGTGTTACTCAAATTTATAAGGCTTTGTGTGCGAACCCTTAAATGGACAGCAACATGGCGGCGGGAAGCTGACAAAACACACGTCATCGAGTTTTGCTGTGTAAAAAACCTGTAGTTGTCTTCTGAGGGATCATCAAAAACCATTTGATTATCCATTCTCATACAAGGACTGTTCAGATTGCTACTTGACAGCATTTCAATATCTTGTCACGAAAAAGCTTAGAAATTCAACCGGCCTTGCTTTATCACATGACGAAAAACCCGATCAAACTGAAAATTTATAAAAAAGATAAGTCTTCAACTCTTCTATTAACTAACTAAACTAAAATCTCATAAGGATCGATAATTCCTCGTTTTTTAATTTTAATGACGTTACGTGAAAACCAAGAATAAAGATAGTTCATGGTTTAAGTTGTGCGGATTTCTCATTGAACCGGTTGCATTAAATCGTAGTCTCTTCCTCCTGGCTCTGAAAAATTTTCTTCAAAAGGCAGTTCACAGCTTGTCCAAAAACGCTTTTTTCACCGGATTTCCAATCGCGTGACACGATCTCAAAATGATCCACAAATCAGTGCTCCTCACAGAACTGATTGAACCCGATTTCGCTGTCAAATGTCTCGCCACCCCCAATCCATTTCAGTGGCTCCTTTCCAACGTTGTCAGTGACAAGGACACATGGCGCGTATGGACAAAATTCTTTGACAATTTCTCTCCACAGTACAGCTTCATTCAGAGTCGACGGTGTTAGCGTTCCCCAGAAAACTAGTGCCCCGAGACAGTCCCTGAAGGAAATTTTTGCCATGTTCGAAAAGCCTTGATGTTCGGCAATTTCCCAGAGTTGTAGCTTGATAGAGATCGGTTTCTCTGCATCGCTTCGCTGCCATCTGATTGTTTTTAGGTAAAAGTTTACTCCGATTAATGGAGGACGATGCGTTTGAACAGGAGGCCACACTTCGAGATAATCGTCTATGAAGACACCTTTAGTACCCACTCCACCCGTGTAGCCACCAACGCATACGATTTTTATGCTTAGTTCTTCTCCATGACGATCGCTTTCAATGGTGAGTTGTTCTGGTTCAACATTCGAGTTAAACGTTTTCATTTCTAACTCTTCTACACTCTTTGATCTAATGTCATGGACCTCGTCAGGCAATTCATAGTTGGATGCCATTGTAGAGAGAAATCACTGAAATAGAGAAGAAGAAAACTTCCGGTATTGTACGGCTGTACTTAGCTGTCTTTGTCGCTTTCTGAGGGTCTCTAATCGGCTGCTATGCTCGTTTCCTTTGATCTCTGGCGACGCCGCTAGGATTTAAACGCTTAATAATGGAATGGTTGTCTATCTTGGCTTTCAGTAAGGACAGTAAGCAGTACCATTCCACTCATAAGGAAATGGTTGTATAACGCCATAGTCTTGTTAGAAAGGTGACGCGATTAGACCTGGTGCGAGATTCATACTCTTCGCAGCCTCAGTCCGCGAAGAAGTTTTTGAGCTTCTTGACAAGAGGGGCGGAGGCGGGGAAACTGGCAGTTATTACTGATATGATTGGTTTTCTTTCTCTTAGCTTTTAATCTGATTCAGATTGGCTCTTTCAATTTATGACCAAATAAACTCGATTTTAACTCTCACTGTCTTGTCACACAGCCCTGTTCCAGTGAAGGTTGTTAATGGCTTCCTATAACCGACCCCAGTTACAGAAGGATATGATGAAAAGTCACTTGGATGGCAAGAGATTCAATTCATAGTTGTGATCTCTTGTGGATGGTAAATATCGGTATTTATCGCATGTGAATGAAAATATTGTTTCTCCAGTAGAGGTAAGTAATCTCGGAAGTCACGACGTAACGGTTCGACTTACTTCCGTGGTTTCATGATGGTAGGTTTGGGGAGGGGGGAATTAGAAGACAGTCATAGGCGGAGGATAACACTGGAAATCAAAGATAGTTGTAAAGCCGTTAAAACTTAGCCTGTAGTTTCCATTCTTGTCTCTACATCTTAGCTCGTTGAAAATCAGACCCATTTAAGTTCTAAGCTCTCACTGTTTCGGCATGCAATCTGTATCCGGGTTGATGTTGTTTTAAAAAATTTTTTTAGTGTACAGCCTCCTGTCTCTGTAGCGTATCACAAAAGGGGATAATTTAATGGAGAAGCGAACACTAGATTTCTAATCCAAGAGGTGAGCTGAAAGGTCGATCAATTCGATTATCAATTAAATTCGTGAATTATTTTTGCCATTGTTTTTTTCCTCATCTTTTTACTCAGGCCATCCCTCAAGTATTCACTACAAAATTTTCCCCCAGCAAAATCGTAATTTCATGTTCCCTCTCTCCCGTTACTTACCATTCTCATTGCCGCACCTATTAGTTTTAAAGATTTAAAGCTTCCCCCCCCCTAACGGTTTAAAATTTCGTTACAAGGTCACTATAATTATCTGTTGTGGCTTTCCAGTGACGCGAATTCATTTACTTAAGGTTCTCCGGAAAGGCGGGTAAAGCGACCAGAAGTATTTTTCTACTTGGTGTTAACAGTCCTTCCATTATTTGCGCTAAATGGTGAACTGTCACGTTTGTTTGGTGCATTCCTTTGGTTAAGTTATAGCGGTAGACGCGTGACCTCCTTGGAGCCCAGTGTCTTCCATTGCCGCTTTCTATTGCTCGACAAAGAAGTTGGTGAAAAGTGACATCCTCATTTTGTACCGAGCTAAGGAAAAAGCAGACATGACAATAAATAATAACTGGAAAAAAATTGAATTGTATTCTGATTCGCGCGATTTAATAAAGATGGTTCGCTATTCATGGTGTACGGATTTCTTATTGCACCGGTTGCATTACATGGAAGTCTCTTCCTCTCTTTGCTCGCTCTGAAAAGTTTCCTTCAAAAGACAGTTCACAGCTTGTCCAAAAACACTCTTTTCACCAGACACCCAATCGCGTGACGCGATCTCAAAATGATTCACAAAGCCGTGATCTTTACAAAACTGATCCAATGCCAGTTCACTTTCAAATGTCTTGCCAGCCCCAATCCATTGGAGTAGCTCTTTTCCTAAATTATCAGTGACAAGTAAGCATGGAACTGATGGACAATCCTCCATTACCATCTTCCTCCATTTTATCGCTTTAGTCAGCGAAGAAGGCCTTAATGCTTCCCAGAAAACAAGCACTCCAAGACATTCCTTCGAGAGAATCTTCCATAGGCTTGAAAAACGTCCTAGTTCGCCTATTTCCAAAATTTGCAGGTTGATAAATATCGGTTTTTCTGTTTGATTTCTAAGCCATTTCATTTTCTTCAAATAGTAATCCACGAACAGTGCAGGAGGCCGAAATCCTCGAACTGGAGGCGTTACTTGGAGGTAATCGTGAACAAAAACACCAATATTTCCCACTCCACCGATACACAAGATTTTCACGATTATGTTTCCTAGTCGATCGCTTTGGATTTCGCGCACCGCCAACTCTTCGTTCGTTGTAAATGTTTTCATCTCGACGTCTCTTCCCAGTCTCCTCAAACATATCTCGTCAACCTCCTCTGGCAAATTATAGTTTGAAGGTATGGTATTGAACAGAGAATTTGATTGCATCATATTCAACTTTGTCACAGTTCAGGAAAAACACTTCCGGTTTCTTCGATTTCGCGATCGCTGCGTCCTCAGTCTGAGGGTTTCACAGAAGTAACTCTGATGATTTCTCGACACCGTCAGATGTTTGATTGCTTAGGGTGTAGAATATTGTGCTTTGGATGAATGAGCAAGGATCTATGGATGGATGTTCCAATAAAACGTACAGTTGGAAATAAGAGAATATCAACTGAGTTCATATTCTCTTGTTTGCAGATCTAAACATCTCTGCTCATCTCTGTTTGTTTTGTCCAAGGGGTGGGGGTAGGGGTAGGGGTAGGGGGGAGTTCTTTCATGCACTGAAAGTGGAAGTGATCGAAAGGTGAATGGGGGTGGATTTACAGAGTACAAAGCCCGTAACGGCACGGCTTCAAAATTCCTGTACTGTGACTGTTTTTGTTTCCATTCTTTTTATTTTCTCAGCTCCTTTATCTAGTAGCCTGCCCATCAAATGGCAGTAAATCCCCAAATAACAGATCAAATAGTAAACTCGACGAAACTGAGAAATTAATGCTAGCGGATGTCAAATTCTCCCGTTGCTCATTTTGCCGACTCCTTTCGGAGGCATTCTCACTTCTAATGGCCAGGATTACCTTTTTATAACACTCGTTTTAATAACAACATTTGTAAACCACAATCAAAGCGTACATGGGGTCAGCATCGGTTTGTTTGTCATGCAGTAGATGACTGGAACGCTCTCCCAGACGGCATTAGGAACATTTCCGATTTTTTAGTTTTTAGACGTCTTGTTAAAAACATGTAGTCTCTTCTATCGATTATGCCCTTTTATCCTTTTCTTGATAACCATATTTATATTTTCTGTTATCCTTACGTTAGATTTATGCAGGGCCTCACCGAAAACCACACTTTGTGACGTGGGCTCCCTGTCAAAAGATCTTACTTATCTTAACACAATTAGAAAGATTTTGTTAAGTTGTGTGACAAGGCATGGAACATGTACAAGCTTGGCCTCCATAAATCCCTAAGGAAGATCAGTATTTGTGAGTTACGTCATAACATAGCGTAAAATCACTAATTAGTACATGGTAGTGATATTTGCTAGCAAAGTTCTAATGTTCAATTCTTAATGCATGTTCATTTAACACGTAATTTTGCATTGAGTCAGATGCAGGTTTAACCGTCTCCTTCGTAGCCGTTGTTTGGTCTCGTTACGCAACGCATGGAGAGGTTGTTGTGTGATGAAACCCAGCAAAGGCTTCGAAGCCGGCTGCGAAATAGATTAGTCTGAGAATAATTGCGTTACACGCAAGACTGTTCTTTCTTTTCGCTCTGCAAAATCTCGTCAAGAAGACAGTTCACAGCTTGTCCAAAAACACTCTTTTCCCCGGACACCCAATCGCGTGCCGTGAGCTCAAAATGATTTACAAAGCTGTTATCTTTACAGAACTGATCCAGCGCTAACTCGCTCTCAAATATCTTCCCTGGTCCAATCCACTTTATTGAACTCACACAAGAGTCTGTGACATTATCTGTGACTAGAACGCAAGGAATCGAAAGAGATACATCCTCCTTGATCTTTCTCCGCCATTGCAATGCTCCAGCAAGTGACGATGGATTGTGAGGTCCCCAAAATACCATGGCTCCTTGACTGTGCTTAAAGAAGACCTTGGTCATGGCGGAAAAACGTTCCATTTCAGCTATATCGCATAGTTGCACGACAATCGAATTGCGACTGCAGTGATCAGGCTTTTGCCATTCAACTTTCTTCAGATAAAAATCAACGCAAGTGAAAGGATGACATCTAATGGTGGGTTTGATTCCTAAGTAATCCTTAATAAAGATACCCTTGGTTCTCACACCACCTGTGAAATCACCTACGCAAATGATCTTCAAAGGATTCTTCTGACAGTCTTCCTCCATGCCTTCTTCTTGAGACAACGTGCGAAAATTTGCCTGAAACGTTTTAAGTTCCATATTTGAAGCTGGTTCGTTGATCTCATTTTTCTCTGGGGCGGCCATTTCAGCGTTGCATAATAACTACGACGTATTCAGTTCAGGTGTAATCGTTCCTGGATTTACTTTGTCTGATTTCCTTCAACAAAATTTCCCCTCAGTTGATTGAACTTTCAGTTCTTAGAGATAGGAGTCAAGATTACTTGTTTCAAAAAGCCAAAATTTCGTATGGCTGATTCTCGAAACAATCTCGACTAATCGCGGACTTGGCTCAACCTGATGCAATAAGATACTGCATTAATCTTGTCTAGACCTGTCAATACTGCGTACATAGCGAAGTAAAGTAAGGCTTATTTTTAAAATAACAGGATAACGACTAAAAACAAACAGGCAGGATAACGACTGAAAACAAACAGGCTTCTCACAATCAAAAGAACAAAAAATAAATCAGCTTGACTTAATATTTAAAATTCACAAACCACGCGTAAAAATGAGAAGCTGCTCGCAGTGCAGTCATTTTCAGAGTAAATAGATTTACCTATTTTGTCAATATCAGCCCGTAACAAGCGTGACTTGACAATTGTCACGCGCTTAGTTCGAGCCTTGTGGATCAAGCGTTCCATTCAATCTCGATTGGTAAATATATTACAATCCTCTTAGAAGATAGCATAAATATCTAGATCCATCTTTCAACTCAGTTGAGATATTGAAGAGGCAAAGGTTTTGGTTGCTTACGTTGAGAGACCTTACTACCATACTTTGTTTGGGCCAATAGATTTATAAAGTTCAAACACCAATTCGTTTTCTCACGGATTTAAACATTTTTTCGCTCCAGTTCGGTTCGGTACCAACGGTGTCCGTCTTCTGGGCGACTGACCAAGTACTGTTTTTTTTTTTTCACTTTCCATTGAGCTCTGCTTACACGTTGTTGTTTTTACCTTATATGGTAAGCAGAATTCCACTCCTATTTTGATCGGCTCTTACGTATGATTTATTGGAGGACAGACTCATAGTGACGTCATCATTAACAACATTTTGCCTTTTTATCCTATAAAAGAAATAGATTCCATGTTTCCATGTGTCTGTTTAATAATAGACACAGATGACTTCAAAATGTGGCAAGAACCACAACCACATTTTGACCAGCTAAGAAAAATAGTTATGTCTGTGGTAAATTTCATCGCAGAAATTGTCAAGGGCACCTGTTCTCAGAGCAAGAATAGAAACTACGGGCAGAGTTTTAACGATTACTGATACGGCTATCTCTGATTTCCAGTTTTATTCTCTCTTACTGATTGGTTTCTTGGTTATCCTGGCCAAGCCGCTCTGACTGAGAGAGCGCATTAGCCACAATTCAACCGAGGAATCATAACGCTAATCAGAACCAAGAAATTAAAAATATGGTAAAATATTGAATGAAAAGAACATCACATAAAAGCAGACAACTTCTTCTTAGCATAAACTGTCTTAACTACCAGTTTTGTTGTTGTTATTTTTTTTTCTCCATCCACTTGTACTTGAAGAAATGTGTACTTAGTAGGCCGGCAGCATTGAGTGGGTGGCTCGTAGGTGGGTTTGCTTCTACTTCTGCCGTCTTTTCTTAATCTACTTGTCAACAAAAACCTTATCCACTCGTATATCACAAAAGATGCTTTTTACCGATCTCATCAATCGAATCAATGTTAAATATTTTTCTGTATTTTTTCAAGGACAAAAAATTTGGAATTCCTAACCCAGTGATATTCAGGCACCCTGAAACTTGTGCTCAGTCCTTCTTCGATAGATATATTGACTATAAAGATTGGTGGTCTGGCAAAAGAAATGTTCCCAATGAACGCATATCGCTTACAGATACAAATGTTGTTTTCTAGTATGGAGACTTTGTATAAGGCCCGCTTGCCATCTATTCTAACATTGCTTTGAACAATTATTGTAAACTTACTAAGTTTGTGTTGTTAACCACCTTTCTCTTTATGAAAGGCGAATAAACTTTGTCTTTTATTCGAAATGCTCGGACAAAAATTGTCCCTCTACAAGATATTCGACTCTTGATAGAACGCAGAATGGCAATATAACTCTTGACAATTGTGGCCCAAAAAAACGAGAAAGCGTGGGTTTCTGATTGTTTGAAATGAACCTGTGTGAGAAAGTGTAGTGTGAGAAAGTGTAGTGTGAGAAAGTGTAGTGTGAGAAAGTGTAGTGTGAGAAAGTGTAGTGTGAGAAAGTGTGGTGTGAGAAAGTGTGGTGTGAGAAGGTGTAGCGTGAGAAAGTGTAGCGTGAGAAAGTGTAGCGTGAGAAAGTGTAGCGTGAGAAAGTGTAGCGTGAGAAAGTGTAGCGTGAGAAAGTGTAGTGTGAGAAAGTGTAGTGTGAGAAAGTGTAGTGTGAGAAAGCGTAGTGTGAGAAAGTGTGGTGTGAGAAAGTGTAGTGTGAGAAAGTGTAGTGTGATCGTCCGGGTGAGTGTAGTCCTGAGAAGGACTGTTGTCGGTAGTAGTGACTGACGTTTCGACAACCTGTGCGGAAGTCATCATCAGAGTTAAGTGAATAGTTGTTGTCAGTAGAATGTTTTTAGTCCAGTTCGTGTAAAATGATTGGTCAGTTTTTCCCTGAAGTTATTGGCTGTAAGACTCAAGTGGCGCAAGTCGGTCGATCACGCTACACTTTCACATGTTACCTCCAGGTTCAAACCATTTACTGCAAAACCTATGTGAGTTGTCTTTTTTTAAGCTCGATTCCTAATCGCCCTTGTCTTCGTATGCGATTCTCTAGACTTTTGCCTGGTTGACTTGCCACTTGAATGGACTTTCATTGATGGGTTGATCTTCAACCATAACTGACAGACTATTATCTCCAGGTTGCGTTGGGCAATAAGAGAAAGTATATGACCCATCACCAATATCTTTGACACCAAGTGCTTGCCAAGTGCTTCCCAAGTGATTACCAAGTGGACCAAGTGCTTTGCCTTTGCCTGGGCAGACTTGAAATCTGAAGGTCATTAATTGAACATGAATTCTCACTTTGTGTCCTCCTTCTGTAACTCTACTGCCGCTTTCATCCTTGATGATAAGTGTGAAATACACATGTTCATTACTTCTAGTCTGATAGAGAACTCCTTCATTCCCATTCATGCTGATGGCGCACCTCTGGGGGTCACACTGTTGGTACCTTACTTGTGCCAATTTCCCCTCATCCTCAATCGACCCCGCTTGAAGCTTCATGTAATCATTTTGACAGGGTTTCAACTGGTCCTGTGAAGAATTAAGCTGTGACTGAAATTCGCTGAACAAGTTGTGTCTTCATGGACAAGAGCTTTATGTCGTCTCCATCTGCTATGGTCTGGCTGGTAAAATCAATAGCACTTCTCAACTAGACCAAAAGGGTGGAAAGATTGTCTGCCTGATTGTCAAGCTGTTTGACTTTGACCTGGCCTTGTGTTGCAGCTTCATGCATCAGGATTGCACGGCGATTCTCCAATGCCTTTATTTGCTCATCGAAAAAGGAATACACCTGTTCGTTTACCTCTGAGACTTTAGTTGGGACACAGCTTTTCGTGTTCTATACTGCTTTGAGACCTTCGGCGACTGCCCTTTCTTTAGTTATACATTTCTAAAGAACACCACGCATAGAAGTTCTTTCCTTTTCAGCAATATCAGCCACAAAGTTGTACTTGTGTTTCCGGTGATCAACAATGGTGCAGTCTCAGCAGATTGTTTTCTGGCAAGTTTGGCAAAAGAGCTTGAGTCGCTCCCCACTATGCTTTTCATAATATGCTGGTATGACAAGAGCCTTTGAGCCAACTCTTTTGACTTCTTCCAGGGATAAGATCTTGTGATTCCTTGTTGCTGTAATGTATCCTTGTTGCTGTATGTGCAGTGGCACAAAACTCGCACATGAAAACACAGCAGTTGGTGCAGC